GTAGATGAAAGGAAAGGGGATAGATACTAGACCTAGGGGGAAAGATATACACTAGACCTAGGGGGAAAGATAGATACTAGACCTAGGGGGAAAGATAGATACTAGACCTAGGGGGAAAGATAGATACTAGACCTAGGGGGAAAGATAGTTACACTAGACCTAGGGGGAAAGATAGATACTAGACCTAGGGGGAAAGATGGATACTAGACCTAGGGGGAAAGATAGATACTAGACCTAGGGGGAAAGATATACACTAGACCTAGGGGGTATTTGAGCAGCTCTGAAGATCTCCTCAGTGGGGTTTTCTCAGAGCCTTACATGACTGATAACCTAGGAGATTTAGGAAGAGTAGAAGGCATGTGTGAACTGACTTTCACTGCCTTTATTTACAGCAGGGGTTTCCCCCCAACTGGCAAAACCCCCAAATGTTTTTTAATACAGCAGGGGTCTCCAACTGGCCAAAACCCAACATTGCTTTTAATACAGCAGGGTTCCCCAAACTGGCAGCCCACATGCTTTTAATACAGCAGGGTTCCCCAACTGGCAACCCACATGCTTTTAATACAGCAGGGTTCCCCAACTGGCATCCCACATGCTTTTAATACAGCAGGGTTCCCCAACTGGCAGCCCACATGCTTTTAATACAGCAGGGTTTACCAACTGGCAACCCACATGCTTTTACAGTGGGGAAAAAAAGTATTTAGTCAGCCACCAATTGTGCAAGTTCTCCCACTTAAAAAGATGAGAGAGGCCTGTAATTTTCATCATAGGTACACGTCAACTATGACAGACAAAATGAGAAAAAAAATTCCAGGAAATCACATTGTAGGATTTTTAATGAATTTATTTGCAAATTATGGTGGAAAATAAGTATTTGGTCAATAACAAAAGTTTCTCAATACTTTGTTATATACCCTTTGTTGGCAATGACACAGGTCAAACGTTTTCTGTAAGTCTTCACAAGGTTTTCACACACTGTTGCTGGAATTTTGACCCATTCCTCCATGCAGATCTCCTCTAGAGCAGTGATGTTTTGGGGCTGTCGCTGGGCAACACGGACTTTCAACTCCCTCCAAAGATGTTCTATTGGGTTCAGGTCTGGAGACTGGCTAGGCCACTCCAGGACCTTGAAATGCTTCTTACGAAGCCACTCCTTCGTTGCCCGGGCGGTGTGTTTGGGATCATTGTCATGCTGAAAGACCCAGCCACGTTTCATCTTCAATGCCCTTGCTGATGGAAGGAGGTTTTCACTCAAAATCTCACGATACATGGCCCCATTCATTCTTTCCTTTACACGGATTAGTCATCCTGGTCCCTTTGCAGAAAAACAGCCCCAAAGCATGATGTTTCCACCCCCATGCTTCACAGTAGGTATGGTGTTCTTTGGATGCAACTCAGCATTCTTTGTCCTCCAAACACGACGAGTTGAGTTTTTTACCAAAAAGTTATATTTTGGTTTCATCTGACCATATGACATTCTCCCAATCCTCTTCTGGATCATACAAATGCACTCTAGCAAACTTCAGACGGGCCTGGACATGTACTGGCTTAAGCAGGGGGACACGTCTGGCACTGCAGGATTTGAGTCCCTGGCGGCGTAGTGTGTTACTGATGGTAGGCTTTGTTACTTTGGTCCAGCTCTCTGCAGGTCATTCACTAGGTCCCCCCGTGTGGTTCTGGGATTTTTGCTCACCGTTCTTGTGATCATTTTGACCCCACAGGGTGAGATCTTGCGTGGAGCCCCAGATCGAGGGAGATTATCAGTGGTCTTGTATGTCTTCCATTTCCTAATAATTGCTCCCACAGTTGATTTCTTCAAACCAAGCTGCTTACCTATTGCAGATTCAGTCTTCCCAGCCTGGTGCAGGTCTATAATTTTGTTTCTGGTGTCCTTTGACAGCTCTTTGGTCTTGGCCATAGTGGAGTTTGGTGTGTGACTGTTTGAGGTTGTGGACAGGTGTCTTTTATACTGATAACAAGTTCAAACAGGTGCCATTAATACAGGTAACGAGTGGAGGACAGAGGAGCCTCTTAAAGAAGAAGTTACAGGTCTGTGAGAGCCAGAAATCTTGCTTGTTTGTAGGTGATCAAATACTTATTTTCCACCATAATTTGCTAATAAATTCATTAAAAATCCTACAATGTGATTTTCTGGATTTTTTTTCCTCAATTTGTCTGTCATTGTTGACGTGTACCTATGATGAAAATTACAGGCCTCTCTCATCTTTTTAAGTGGGAGAACTTGCACAATTCGTGGCTGACTAAATACTTTTTTTCCCCACTGTATTTGAGCAAAACATTTTGATTTGATTTATTTTTTTGTGAATTTCTATTGTTGGACATAAAATACTGTAAAAACAGCAGGAAATCAGCTCCAAGTGATTTATATTTTGGAAATCTGTTCCCAGTATTCCCACGCATAATAGAGAGACTGTTGTGGTGAAACTGTCATGGTGAAACTGTAGTCATGGTGAAACTGTAGTCATGGTGAAACTGTAGTCATGGTGAAACTGAAGTTATGGTGAAATTGAAGTCATAGTGATAATGTCTGTTGATAAATTCCATTCACACTCTCCTTCAATAATCACAATGCACTTCTGTTATTAACCTTAAGTTAAATCTTACCTTACAGACACCGTCCACACAGACACAGAGACACACAGACACTAGTGCTGAGCGATTAACCAAAGTGTCGGTTATTTTTCGTTTTTTAAACAACTAATTGACTGACTTCGGTTCAATTATTTGAATTCCATTTAATGTTATTTATTTTCTGTGAGCCCAATGCGCACTACGCACAGTTTCTCTAGAGATAAGTCAGATCCAGCCTGAACTGTGCGATGTAGTAGGGTGTTCTAAAAAAGTTTAGCGTGTAAAACGTGGTAATTAACTACAATGACGATAATCCATCTACTTGTCCAGTCTGTGTTTCTTTTACGCCTGCTACGGAAGAGAGAAGAATGTGCAATCGTGAGGTGATATAGAGAGCAGCTGTTTCTTCGAGGTGTCTCTACCTGAAAATACATGATCTAAGTGATTGATAGTTGGTATTCAGCAGTCATTAAAGTATGCCTTATTTACTTTTGAAGAACCACTAAAATAGTGATTTAGTCAGACAGCGTAGGCAGCATTAATAGTTTCATTCTGTGTCGTTAAAGCACTCAACCCACATACCACATAGTTAAAAATATTATTAAAAATAATAAATCAAAACCGAAAACCATAATTATTTTGAACCGAAACCTAACCGACCACACACACACACAAAGCCTACCTTACAGACGCCATCCACACACACGTCTTTCCTCCCGGGGTGGCAGGGTGTACCGTCAACCACAGCTGTCTTGTGACGGTAGAAGAAGTTCTCTCCTCTGGGTATACAGTTCAGCTCACAAGGGTTATCCGCTGGTGGGGGTGAGAGACAGACACAAAGGGTGAGAGACAGACACACAGGGTGAGAGACAGACACACACAGGGTGAGAGACAGACACACAGGGTGAGAGACACACACACAGGGTGAGAGACAGACACAGGGTGAGAGACAAACCAACAGGGTGAGAGACAACACACACAGGGTGAGAGACAGAAACACAGGGTGAGAGACAGACACACAGGGTGAGAGACACACACACAGGGTGAGAGACAGACACACAGGGTGAGAGACACACACACAGGGTGAGAGACACACACACAGGGTGAGAGACAGACACACACAGGGTGAGAGACAGACACACACAGGGTGAGAGACAGACACACACAGGGTGAGAGACAGACACACAGGGTGAGAGACAGACACACAGGGTGAGAGACAGACACACACAGGGTGAGAGACAGACACACAGGGTGAGAGACAGACACACACAGGGTGAGAGACAGACACACACAGGGTGAGAGACAGACACACACAGGCGGGAGAGGACAGAAACAGGGTGAGAGACAGACACACAGGGTGAGAGACACACACACAGGGTGAGAGACAGACACACAGGGTGAGAGACAGACACACAGGGTGAGAGACAGACACACACAGGGTGGGAGACAGACACACACAGGGTGAGAGACAACACACACAGGGTGAGAGACAGACACACAGGGTGAGAGACAGACACACACAGGGTGAGAGACAGACACACAGGGTGAGAGACAGACACACAGGGTGAGAGAAAGACACACACAGGGTGAGAGACAGACACAAACAGGGTGAGAGACAGACACACACAGGGTGAGAGACAGACACACAGGGTGAGAGACAGACACATACAGGGTGAGAGACAGACACACACAGGGGGAGAGACAGACACACAGGGTGAGAGACAGACACACAGGGTGAGAGACAGACACACACAGGGTGAGAGACAGACACACAGGGTGAGAGACAGACACACAGGGTGAGAGACAGACACACACAGGGTGAGAGACAGACACACACAGGGTGAGAGACAGACACAACAGGGTGAGAGACAGGACACACAGGGTGAGAGACAGACACCACAGTGAGAGACAGACACACACAGGGTGAGAGACAGACACACAGGGTGAGAGACAGACACACAGGGTGAGAGACAGACACACACAGGGTGAGAGACAGACACACACAGGGTGAGAGACAGACACACAGGGTGAGAGACAGACACACAGGGTGAGAAGACACACCAGGGGAGACAGACACACACAGGGTGAGAGACAGACACACAGGGTGAGAGACAGCAGACACACCAGGGTGAGAGACAGACACCACAGGGGAGAGGACAGACACACACAGGGTAGAGACAGACACACAGGGTGAGAGACAGACACACAGGGTGTGAGAGACAGACACACACAGGGGTGGAGGAGACAAGGAAGCGACACACAGGGTGAGAGACAGACACACACAGGGTGAGGAGCACACACATGGTGAGAGACAGACACACAGGGTGCGAGAAGGACAGACACACACAAGGGTGAGAGACCCAAGAACACACAGGGTGGGGAGGACAACCACACAGGTGAGAGAGACACGAGAACAGACACACACAGGGTGAAGAGAAAGACACCACAGGGTGAGAGACAGACACCACCGGGAGAGACAGACACACACAGAGGTGAGAGGGACAGACAACACACAGGGTAAGACAGACCACACAGGGGAGAGACAGACACAACAGGGTGAAGAGACAGACACACAGGGTGAGAGACAGACACACACAGGGTGTGAGAGACGAACACAGGTGAGAGACAGACACACGGGTGAGACACGAGACACACACAGGTGAGAGACAGACACACACAGGGTGAGAGACAGACACAAGGTGAGAGACAGACACACCACAGGGTGAGAGACAGGACACACAGGGTGAGAAAGACACAGAAGACACAGGTGTGAGAGACAGACACACACAGGGTGAGAGACAGACACACAGGGTGAGAGACAGACACCAACAGGGTGAGAGACAGACACACAGGGTGAGAGACAGACACCACACAGGGTGAGAGACAGACACAACAGGGTGAGAGACAAGACACACAGGGTGAAGAGACAGACACACACAGGGTGAGAAAGACAGACACACAGGTGAGAGACAGACAACACACAGGGTGAGAGACAGACACACAGGGTGGAGAGACAGACACACACAGGTGAGAGAGACAGACACACACAGGGTGAGAGACAGGACACCACACAGGGTGTGAGAGACAGACGACACACGGGTGAGAGACAGACACCACAGGTGAGAGAGACAGACCAACAGGGTAGAGAGACAGACACAACAGGGGAGAAGACAGACACACAGGGTGAGAGACAGACACACACAGGGTGAAGAGACAGACACACACAGGGTGAGAGACAGAACCATAAGAAACACAGGTGTGAGAGACAGACACACAGGGTGCAGAGACAGACACACGTGAGACGAGACAGACACACAGGTGAGAGACAGACACACACAGGAGTGAGAAGATAGGACACGACACAGGGTGAGTAGACAGACAACACGGTGGACGAGACAGACACACAGGGTAGAGACAGACACACAGGGTGAGAGACAGACACACACAGGGTGAGAGAGACAGACACACAGGGTGAGAGACAGACACAACAGGGTGAGAGACAGACCACACAGAGGGAAGACAGGACACACACAGGGTGAGAGACAGACACACACAGGGTGAGAGACAGACACCACAGGGTGAGAGACAGACACACAGGGTGAGAGACAGACACAACAGGGTGAGAGACAGGACACACAGGGTGAGAGACAGACCACACACAGGGGTGGAGAGACAGGGACACAACAGGGTGAGAGACAGCACACCACAGGGGTGAGAGCACGAACACACAGGGTGAGAGACAGGACACACACAGGGTGAGAGACAGACAACACACAGGGTGAGAGACAGACCACACAGGGTGAGAGACAGACACACAGGGTGAGAGACAGACACACAGGGTGGAGGACAGAACACACAGTGTGAGAGACAGACACACAGGGTGAGAGAACAGACAGACACCAGGGTGAGAGACAGACACAACAGGGTGAGAGAAGACACACACAGGGTGAGAGACAGACAACACAGGGGTGAGAAGACAGACCACACACACGGTGAGAGACAGACCACACAGGGTGGAGAGACAGACACACAGGGTGAGAGACAGACACACACAGGGTGAGAGACAAGACACACAGGGTGAGAGACAGACACACAGGGTTGGGGAAACACACACAGGGTGAGAGACAGACACACACAGGGTGAGAGACAGACACAACAGGGTGAGAGACAGACACACACAGGGTGAGAGACAGACACACACGGGCGAGAGACAGACACAGGGTGAGACGACACAGGGTTGAAAGAGACACATGAGGACAGAACACACAGGGTGAGAGAAGCACAATGAGACAGAACACACAGGGTGAGGACAGACACACACAGGGGAGAGACAGACACACACAGGGTGTAGCAGAAGACCAACAGGGTGAGAGACAGACCATGAGGAGACACACACGGGTGAGAGACAAGACACACAGGGTGAGAGACAGAAACACACAAAGGTGGATGAGACGACACACACAGGGTGAGAGGACAGACACACAGGGTGGAGACAGCACACACAGGTGAGAGACAGAACACACAAAGGGGGGGAAGAGACAGACACACAAGGGTGAGAGACAGACAACACAGGGTGAGAGACAGACACACAAAGGGTAGAAGACCAAGGTGACAGACACACACAGGGTGAGAGACAGACAAGGGGAGGACAGACAACACAGGGTGAGAGACAGACACACACAGGGTGAGAGACAGACACACAGGGTGAGAGACAGACACACAGGGTGAGAGACAGACACACAGGGTGAGAGACAGACACACAGGGTGAGAGACAGACACACACAGGGTGAGAGACAGACACCACAGGGTGAGAGACAGACACACACAGGGTGAGAGGGAGACAGACACACAACAGGTGTGAGAGACAGACACACAACAGTGAGGAGAACATTGAGAAGACAACACCACAGGGTGAGAGACAGCACACAGGGGAGGACAGAACACAGGTGAGAGTGTGAAGACAACACACAGGGTGAGAGACAGACACACAGGGTGAGAGACAGACACAACAGGGTGAGAGACGACACACACAGGGTGAGAGACAGACACAAACAGGGTGAGAGACAGACACACACAGGGTGAGAGACAGACACACAGGGTGAGAGTACATACACACAGGGTGAGAGACAGACACACAGGTGAGGGACAGACACACAGGGTGAGAGACAGACACACACAGGTGAGAGACAAGACAACCACAGGGTGAGAGACCGACACACACAGGGTGAGAGACAGACACACAGGGTGAGAGACAGACACACAGGGTGAGAGACAGACACACACAGGGTGAGACAGACGACACACAGGTGAGAGACAGACACACAGGGTGAGAGACCAGACACACAGGTGAGAGACAGACACACAAGGGTGAGAGACAGACACAAAGGTGTGAGAGACAGACACACAGGGTGAGAGACAGACACACAGGGTGAGAGACAGACACACACAGGGTGAGAGACAGACACACACATTTCTTTGACCTTTTCTCATCTGTAGTCGTCATACCTTTACCAGTAATATATTTAAATGGCCCACCTCTTTAAGGAATACCTGGGATAGTATAAAAGTCATCCTTCTACCCCCCCACCCCCACAAAAAATAAATATATATATATATATATATATATATATATATATATATAAAAACAAATGAAAATAAAAATATACTATAAAGTAAAATATATAAAAAAAATAATTTTAAAGTGTTTGTCCCACTGGCTATCATAAGGTGAATGCACCAATTTGTAAGTCGCTCTGGATAAGAGCGTCTGTTAAATGACGTAAATGTAAATGTAATGTAAATGTCCGCTGAACATTGTTGTTCAGTTCACTGTATTCCAAGTCAACACACTTACAGTATACAGTCATTACCAAACCTTATACCCCTGATTACAGTATACAGTCATTACCAAACCTTCTACCCCTAATTACAGTATACAGTAATTACCAAACCTATACCCTAATTACAGTATACAGTCATACAAACCTTATACCCCTGATTACAGTATACAGTCATTACCAAACCTTATACCCCTAATTACAGTATACAGTCATTACCAAACCTTATACCCCTAATTACAGTATACAGTCATTACCAAACCTTATACCCCTAATTACAGTATACAGTCATTACCAAACCTTATACCCCTAATTAGAGTATACAGTCATTACCAAACCTTATACCCCTAATTACAGTATACAGTCATTACCAAACCTTATACCCCTAATTACAGTATACAGTCATTACCAAACCTTATATCCCTAATTACAGTATACAGTCATTACCAAACCTTATACCCCTAATTACAGTATACAGTCATTACCAAACCTTATACCCCTAATTACAGTATACAGTCATAACCAAACCTTATACCCTTAATTACAGTATACAGTCATTACCAAACCTTATACCCCTAATTACAGTATACAGTCATTACCAAACCTTATACCCCTAATTACAGTATACAGTCATTACCAAACCTTATACCCCTAATTACAGTATACAGTCATTACCAAACCTTATACCCCTAATGACTTGCCCCAATGCCCCTTGCTTCAGGCTCTCCTGTCTTGACTCACCTCCATAGTATGGAAGCCACTTGTAGCGTTTTCCCTGGAAGTCAGATCCATCAAACTGAGAACACTGTTCCTCTCTGAAGTCTCTGGATCCCTCTGGGCAGTCCTGTGTGATACGCAATGAGAGGTATGGGGTCAGGGATTAGGGGTCAGGGATTAGGGGCTCACAGGTCAGGGGTTAGGGTCAGGGCATGGGCAGAAAGACAGTGCACTATTGTACAACACCTTGTTTTTGTTGGTTCTTTCCCATCAATGTCTTGGTATGAACTGAACATAGAAAATATGGTTGATTCCCAAAGATTAACAACTGATCTCACAGCTGTGAGAGAGTTACACCAACAGTAGGTCTGTGTGATTTAAGACATAAATCAGATATATTACTATGTATCAGAGAGGATGACGTAGAGACAGGAGGAACTCCACAGGTGTATAGCTATCATCAATCAAATCAAATCAAATCAAATGTTATTGGCCACATGCGCCGAATACAACAGGTGCAGACATTACAGTGAAACGCTTACTTACAGCCCTTAACCAACAGTGCATTTATTTTTAACAAAAAAAGTAAAAATAAAACAACAACAAAAAAAGAGCAGAAGTAAAATAAAATAACAGTAGGGAGGCTATATATACAGGGGGGGTACCCGGTGCAGAGTCAATGTGGCGGGGGGCACCGGTAGTTGACGGGGTAGTTGCAGTCACGGTGAGAAGAGGGTTTATGGGTGAATCACAGAATTTACCTGACATCAAGATCAAATACTAAAGCAATAATTCATGAGAACCCGTGGGTTATAGTGAATTACACCATTAAGGGATGTACTTAGGCACGTCACCAAGAATGTTGTTTACCTGGATGTTACATGAGCGGTAGGACTTGTCTGGTCCCACACAGCTGTTCCCTCCATCAGTCCTACCAACCAAGAAACAGAGAAAATAAAGAAGTTATTCATTGATTAACCCAAACAGAAAGATGGGAGGTTTTTTCATGAGAAGCCATTCAATGTAGCCTGGTCCCAGTTCTGTGCTGTCTTGCCACTACATGTTTGGCATGACAATGACCTAGGAGTTGGCAAGACAGCACAAACAGATCTGGGACCAGGCTATATTCAGTGAGATCTGGGACCCAGGCTATATTCAGTGAGATCTGGGACCAGGCTATATTCAGTGAGATCTGGGACCAGGCTATATTCAGTGAGATCTGGGACCCAGGCTATATTCAGTGAGATCTGGGACCAGGCTATATTCAGTGAGATCTGGGACCAGGCTATATTCAGTGAGATCTGGGACCAGGCTATATTCAGTGAGATCTGGGACCAGGCTATATTCAGTGAGATCTGGGACCCAGGCTATATTCAGTGAGATCTGGGACCCAGGCTATATTCAGTGAGATCTGGGACCAGGCTATATTCAGTGAGATCTGGGACCAGGCTATATTCAGTGAGATCTGGGACCAGGCTATATTCAGTGAGATCTGGGACCAGGCTATATTCAGTGAGCTCTGGGACCCAGGCTATATTCAGTGAGATCTGGGACCAGGCTATATTCAGTGAGATCTGGGACCAGGCTATATTCAGTGAGATCTGGGACCAGGCTATATTCAGTGAGCTCCAGGGTGAAGTTCATCCTAGGTACAGATCGAGGACTAGCCTCCTTCTCTTCCTCTCATCTTCCTCCTCCTCCTCCTCCTCTCCCCCCCCTCCTCATCTTCCTCCTCCTCCTCCTCCTCCTCTCCCCCCCCTCCTCCTCATCTTCCTCCTCCCCCCCCCTCCTCCTCCTCCCCCTCATCTTCCTCCTCCTCCTCTCCCCTCTCCTCCTCCTCATCTTCTCCTCCCCCCCCCCCCCCCCCCCCCCCCTCCTCCTCCTTCCTCTTTCCTTCCCCCCCCCCCCCCCTCCTCCTCTTCTTCCTCCTCTCGGGAGGCCACCATCTTATTCATTATGATCTAAAAGGCCAAACTGATCACAGATCAGCACCTACTCAAGACACTTTGTGGATACAGGCCTAAGTGTTTATCCCAGGGCCAGGCTTGTCATGCCCAAGGCTCAATCCCAGACATGTTCCACCTTTTATGAGTCCATGAGTAAGAGGCTGAACCAGGATCATGTAAGGGAGGGGAGTGTTATTTCTCCATGATTTAAAGCCTGGAGCTAAGGGAGGGCAATGGGAAAGTAATGTTATTATTGAATGAGTCCATGAGTACATTGGGTAAACGCCTGAAGCTACGGTGTTATTCACTTCATCCAGGCTCAGACTCCTCCTCCTCCTCCTTTTCACACCGTTCTGTTTGAACAACATGGCAACATCTGTGAAGGGAATGGCTGTTTCCCAAATGGCTTCCTATTCCCTTTATAGTGTCCTACTATTGACCAGAGCCCTTTACAGAAGAGCACTACATAAGGGAAAAAAATAGTGTCATTTGGGACGTAGCCAACAATTAGACTTATTGTAAAGTGGAGTTGAAGTCAACAGAGTGATGGGGTCTAATAGTGGAAAGCAGGGGTGTGGCTGGTGACTAATGTTCCTGATGAGACACAACACAACACACCAGACAGGAGCCAGGTAGCCATGAGGTTGGGCTGGCTTCCCAGAGCTACTTGCCTCTCATTCATAGTTCACCCGAGGGCAGGCTGACAGTGTAGGTGGAGCCGTGGCAGCATTAATGATAAAGGTGTTTAACCGTAGCCATGGCGACAGGGCGTGGCTGGAGATAAAGGCACAATAGATCTTCTCCATCTCTCGCTGTGTCTATACTATCTCTCTCTCTCTCTCTCTGTGTCTCGTGTCTTCTCTCTCTCTCTGTGGCTCTCTCCTCTGTGCTCTCTCTCTCTGTGGTCACTTCTCTCTCTCTCTCCTCTATCTCTCTAGCTCTCTGTGTCGTCTCGATCTGGTCTCTATCTCGTGTGTCATCTATCTATTCTCTTTCGACTCTCTCCCTCTATCTATCTCTCTCTCTCATCACTCTATATCTCTCGTCTCTCTCTCCTCTCTCTCTCTGGCTATCTATCTGGTCTCTATCTCTGTGTTGTCTCTCTCTCTCTCTCTCGCTCTCTATCGCTCTCTCTCTCTCTCTCTCTCTCCTCTCCTCTCTCTCTCTCTCTCTCTCTCTCTTCTCTCTCTCTGTGTCTCTCTTCTGTGTCTCTCTCTTCTCTCTCTCTCTCTCTATCTATCTCTCTCTCTCTCTGGTCTCTCTCTCTCTGTGTCTCTCTCTCTGTGTCTATCTCTCTGTGTGTCTCTCTCTCTCGCTCTATCTCTCTCTGTCTCTATCTTCTCTCTCTCTCTCTCTCCTGTCTCTCTCTCGCTCTCTCTCTCTCTCTCTACTATAATATATAAAAAGTATGTGAACACCCCTTCAAATTAGTGGATTCGGCTATTCAGCCACACCCGTGTGACAGGTGTATAAAATCGAGCACACAGCCATGCAAACTCAGCACAAGAACTGTTCGTCGGGGGCTTCGTGAAATGGGTTTCCACAGCCAACCAGCTACACTCAAGATCACCATGGACAACGCCAAGCGTCGGCTGGAGTGGTATAAACCTCGCCGCCATTGGACTCTGGAGCAGTGGAAACGCATTCCGCAGTCCGACGGAAAAATCTGGGTTTGGCGGATGCCAGGAGAACGCTACCTGCCACAATGCATACTGCCAACTGTAAAGTTTGGTGGAGGAGGAATAATGGTTCGGGCTAGGCCCCTTAGTTCCAGTGAAGGGAAATCTTAACGCTACAGCATACAATGACATTCTAGACGATTCTGTGCTTCCAACTTGGGGAAGGCCCTTTCCTGTTTCAGCATGACAATGCTCCCGTGCACAAAGAGAGGTCCATACAGAAATGGTTTGTCGAGATCGGTGTGGAAGAACTTGACTGGCCTGCACAGAGCCCTGACCTCAACCCCATCGAACACCTTTGGAATGAATTGGAACGCCGACTGCGAGCCAGGCCTAATCGCCCAACATCAGTGCCCTACCTCACTAATGCTCTTGTGGCTGAATGGAAGCAAGTCCCCGCAGCAATGTTCCAACATCTAGTGGAAAGCCTTCCCAGAAGAGAGGAGGCTGTTATAGCAACAAAGGGGGGGGACCAACTCCATATTAATGTCCATGATTTTGGAATGAGATGTTGGACAAGCAGGTGTCCACATACTGTTGGTCATGTAGTGTATTTATTACGATATTTCCATGTCCCTTCAACTGACAATCATTTTATTTTATTTGACTCAGAAATAATTTCTGATCCAAAATACAAGAACCTACATGTGAAATGAACCATGACATCAGTGAGCTGTGCTTCGGCGCGTCTAGGAAGCTGTCTCTGTTTGAATAAACTCACTGAGATCTACGCATCACCAGCCCTCAGCACAGAGGCCGCAGGCCCAGCCCTGGAAAAGCACTTTCAGCTTAGAGGTTGTTCCTTTAACACAACACTAAATCCTGACTCACCCTTGCCATCACTCTGGTTACGTCCCAAATGGCAGCCTATTCCCTATGTAGCGCACTACTTTTGACCAGGGCCCATAGGGTTGTAGTACAGTATGTAGTGAATAGGGTTCCATTGGGTACGTAACCCTCAATCAGACAGAGATAGCTGCTGACTAACGACGGTTTTGCGATCCCCATCATAATCCACTGGTTTATCTTTTGGGCAGCATTGATCACAGCTACAAGAGGAAGAATAGAGTCCCTCATATAATAATAATAATAATAATAATATGCCATTTAGCAGAGGCTTTTATCCAAAGCGACTTACAGTCGTGCGTGCATACATTTTTTGTGTATGGGTGGTTCCCGGGGATCGAACCCACTACCCTGGGCGTTACAAGCGCCGTGCTCTACCAGCTGAGCTACAGAGGACCAAGCGCCGTGCTCTACCAGCTGAGCTACAGAGGACCACATATACAAGCAAGCACCTCAGGAAGGTGTAGGTGCAGTAACCCCCGGAGGGGTGTTTTGGAATAGCGGAAACAGGGTCTTCCTGGGGAACACTGAAAGGTTATAGACTATGATGAATAAAGTTGAAGTCCTCTTAAGGAAACCCTGGATAGGATAAATTTAATCCCTCCCCCCACCCAAAAAAATTTAAAAAATACATATTGTAAAGTGGTTTCCCACTGGCTAAAAGGGTTTGAATGCACCAATTTGTAAGTCGCTCTGGATAAGAGCGTCTGCTAAATGACGAAAATGTAAATGTAAAATATACAAGCAAGCAGGAAGGGTTTGAGGTGTAGTGACCCCAATGACCCCCTGAGGCTTTTTTTGGGAAGCACATACTGTACTTCACATTCCCCTCTCTTTCCATAACAGTAAATAAGATCAATATACCAGTGCAAAGAGGGAACATGCAGGCTGGATTCCAGCTATATGATTTATGGAAAACGGGAGATAATGGACAAGGGAGAAAAGGGGAGAGAACATCGGGCTTATCTTTCCCCCTATACCTCATCTCTCCACTCTCACTAATTTTTAAAAATCTCTTATTTTCTTCTCTCTCTTCTCTCTCCTTTTTCTCTCTATCTCTCTCTCCTCATCTCGTCTCTCTTCTCTCTCTCTCTCTTCTCCTCTCGCTCTCTCTCTCTCTCTCGCTCTCTATTCGCTCCTCTATCCTCTTCGCTCTTTTCCTCCTACTCCTCTCTCTCTCGTCCTCTCTCTCTCTCTCTTCCTCCTCTCTCTCTCTCTCTCTCTCTCTCTCACAACCACCGTTCCGTGAAAATGGCAGAACTGGCAATAACGTGTTTCTTGCCCTGTCCCAACCGAACACACAGTTAACTAGTTCCCTTCTCATCTTCTGCTGGTTTCACGGCACGCTATCAGCGCAGAAGACAACACCCAACTTAAAGATAGATCCCGTTCAAAGTTAAAGAGCCACTCCCTGTGATCTTGCCTGGACATAGTACAATCATAACCACATCCATAACTCCATGGTGTTTCTTTATAACATGATATCATCATAACCACATCCATAACTCCATGGTGTTTCTTTATAACATTGGCAATCTCACTCTGTGGCTTTGTGTCAACCTAAACATGATGTACCTTGTAAAACACAGCTACACTCTGTTGGAAAGAGTCATGTCACGTCCAACAAAGAAAGAAAGAAAGAAAGAAAGAAAGAAAGAAAGAAAGAAAGAAAGAAAGAAAGAAAGAAAGAAAGAAAGAAAGAAAGAAAGAAAGAAAGAAAGAAAGAAAGAATCTCTTACCTCTGGGTAACACATCTCCTGGTTCTCATGGTAACCCCACTCCCACAGCTCCGGCTACATTCACCATAGGGACTCCATTCCTCCCAGTATTCCCCATTGGGCAGCTGGACATATACAACAACACATTATGGTCTCCGTCCCAAATAGCACCCTATTCCCTATGTAGTGCACTACTTTAGACCAGGGTCCACAGGGCTCTATAGGACTAGGTTGCCATGTGCCGCACTCTGGTGTAGTGGTCAAAGCTTCTGACTCCAGACCACATATACCCCCCCCCTCCCCCCCCCTATATAACACAGTACTGTAACACATTCACTGCATGGCCAAAAGTATGTGGACACCTGCTTGTCCAACATCTCATTCCAAAATCATGGACATTAATATGGAGTTGGTCCCCCCCCCTTTGCTGCTATAACAGCCTCCACTCTTCTGGGAAGGCTTTCCACTAGATGTTGGAACATTGCTGTGGGGACTTGCTTCCATTCAGCCACAAGAGCATTAGTGAGGTTGGGGACTGATGTTGGGCGATTAGGCCTGGCTCGCAAGTCGGCGTTCCAATTCATCCCAAAGGTGTTCAATGGGGTTGAGGTCAGGGCTCTGTGCAAGCCAGTCAAGTTCTTCCACATCAATTTCGACAAACCATTTCTGTATGGACCTCACATTGTGCACGGGGGCATTGTCATGCTGAAACAGGAAAGGGCCTTCCCCAAACTGTTGCCACAAAGTTGGAGGCACAGAATCGTCTAGAATGTAATTGTATGCTGTAGCGTTAAGATTTCCTGAGCCCGGACCATGAAAAACAGCCCCAGACCATTATTCCTCCTCCACTAAACTTTACAGTTGGCACTATGCATTGGGGCAGGTAGCATTTTCCTGGCATCCGCCAAACCCAGATTTGTCCGTAGGACTGCCAGATGGTGAAGCGTGATTCATCACTCCAGAGAACGCGTTTCCACTGCTCCAGAGTCCAATAGCGGCGAGCTTTACAACACTCCAGCCGACGCTTGGCATTGCACATGGTGATCTTAGGCTTGTGTGCGGCTGCTCGGCCATGGAAACCCATTTCATGAAGCTCCAGACGAACAGCTATTGTGCTGACGTTGCTTCCAGAGGCAGTTTGTAACTCGGTAGTGAGTGTTGCAACCGAGGGCAGATTTTTAAGCAGGGCAGAAATTTGACGAACTGACTTGTTGGAAAGGTGGCATCCTATGACGGTGCCACGTTGAAAGTCACTGAGCTCTTCAGTAAGGCCATTCTACTGTCAATGTTTGTCTATGGAGATTGCATGGCTGTGTGATCGATGTTATACACCTGTCAGCAACGGGTGTGGTTGAAATAGCCACCAATTTGAAGTGGTGTCCACATACTTTTTTCCCCCTCGTAACAATTTGTATTCACTGAATACAATAACAATGTAATACAATACTATTGAGATGTACATCATGTCTTCTTACCAGGAGAGCTGGAGCCAAGAACAGCTGCAGGACAGCCAGACACCACAGCATCTTCGTTTTTTCACTGGTGGAGACGACCTGGTCTTAACAATGAGATTATAACCACTGGTTTTACTAACATTTACAAATGCGAGAGTAATGATTAATAAACGGTGGGCAAACGGTTTGTAAATGCCTTTTCAAATGGTTTATTACCGAACGTTAAAAGCGTTCGCTTCCAGTTGTTCTACAGTCATTATTATAAAGGGATTTTCAAGTTCTACATGTCATGTGAGATGTCTATGGTGAAAATAAAATCAGAAAACAGAAAGAATTAGGATTTTCGTTTACCTACCTTGGCTTTTTCTTGTTCCACAATTCACCAAGACCATAGCATGGAGACCTTATAGTCTGTGAAAAACAGAGAACATGGCTCAAACGTCAACATCAATAGTGATGCTATACTAAGCAGTGTGGGAGCTACCCAGCAAGCACATTTTGTTTTTGGTTTCCCATTGGTTCAACATTCTGAGAACGGAGGTGTTCTGTTCTGTGAACAGTACATTTTTAGGTTGCAGGGAGGTTCTGATAATATTTTACTATGGTTCCCTGCAAGTTTTCCTGTGAGGTTTTATTAACGTTGTGAGTATTTTAAATTATAGGTTATTTGAAGGTACTCAAAATAACTTTCAGAGAAAAAATTTCAATAAGACTTTTAATAACACTGGTAGCTTAGTTTGGGTTAACTGTTTTGAAGGTGCAAGCACAGATCTAAATGTTTACTTCGAAGCAAGCAACACTGAACCACGAGGGAGAGCACCAGCTGTTCCAGACGACTGTGTGATCTCGCTCTCCGTAGATGATGTGAGTAAGACCCTTAAACAGGTCAACAAGGCCGCAGGGCCAGACGGATTACCAGGACGTGTACTCAGAGCATGCGCTGACCAGATGAAAAGTGTCTTCACTGATATTTTCAACCTCTCCCTGACCCAGTCTGTAATACCTACATGTTTCAAGCAGACCACCATAGTCCCTGTGCCAACGCCAAGGTAACCTGTATAAATGACTATCGCCCCGTAGCACTCACATCTGTAGCCATGAAAATGCTTTGAAAGGCTGGTCATGGCTCACATCAAACACCATCTTCAGTACCGAAGGACCCACCTACCATTTTTGCAACCGCCTCAAAATCCACAGACCTGGGCTGAACACCTCCCTTGAAATGGATCCCTGACTTCCATGATGGCCACGAGGTGGCTGAGGGCAGCAAAACGTAATCTGCCAGCGTGACCCTCAACACGGGGGCACTTAGGGGGTGATTAGTCCCCTCCATTACTCATTACCACGACTGCGTGGCCCGCACGACCCACACCACCTTAAGTTTGCACCCAAACGGTGCGAAGGGCCCCGGCAGAGCGAGGCAGAACAGCAGGCAGCGGACCCTCTGGTCTGGACAGATCTGACTGTTCGTAATTGCCCTCACTTGAAGGTTGTTAATGGAGTCAGCGGCTCTATGAGCCTATTGTTATCAGCTTATTACTGTTACTGTCAGAGTTAGAGGAGTTCAGGGCAGAGCCCCAGTCACAGGATTCAACTTTCACTAACACCATCAATAGACTGGTCAGCACAAACTCTGCACTCAGAGTCCCATTCCTTGACCACATGCACAAACACACGTGCATCCACATCTACTGTATATACACACTAACACACACTCTACACACACTGTACACACAAACAAATACACACTGTACACACAAACAAATACACACTGTACACACAAACAAACACACACTGTACACACAAACAAACACACACTGTACACACACTGTACACACACTGTACACACAAACAAACACACACTGTACACACAAACAAACACACACTGTACACACACTCTACACACACTGTACACACAAACAAATACACACTGTACACACAAACAAATACACACTGTACACACAAACTAACACACACTGTACACACTGTGAAGGAATAAGCCGTTCAATAAAGTAATGCATATTTTAATAATAACTTCTTTATTCAATGCTGTGCTAACAGAATAAAGTAAGTACAGTCATGTGTTTCTGTGTGTATCCTCAACATTAACTATTCATTTCATAGAAAATAATAGAAAATAAAATAATCTAATAGAATGGAATGGAAATAATAGAATAACAGGGAATTCTTTGGAGTGAAATAAAGTGACTCTGTCTCACAACCTCAAACCCTGTTGGCTCTGTGAGGGTAGCCTCGGTACATGGAAGGTGACAGAAGATGGTGTCACTCAGTGGCTGGAAAAAAGTACCAATGGTCATATTAGTAAAAGTAAAGATACCTTAATAAAAACCTACAGTAAAAGTGAAAGAAATACCCAGTAATACACTGAGTAACGTCTAAAGTATTTGGTTTACATACTAAGTATCAAAAGTAAAGTATGAATCTATCAAAGGTTTGATTAAGCAAATAGATGCCAAATTTTCGATTTTTATTATAACAGATAGTCAGCCACTCCAACACTTAGACATTCATTTACAAACCAAGCATTTATGTCCATTATTTTCTTTAGGAATGCAGTGGAGTAGAAGTAAACGATTTCAAACATATAAATAGTAAAGTACAGATACCCACCAAAACTACTTATGTAGTACTTTAAAGTATTTTTACTTAAGTCCTTTACACCACTGGTGTCACTAGCCTACAACTCCATATGAGCAGCAGCGGCTGATCAGGCAGGACCCACTGGGCACACATCTAGTTTTGATTTACATTTGCTTGAGTTGTCAAGTAACATGAATTCAAGTTGAAATAAAATGAAAATATTCACAATGTCATTGGATTTAGGTTAAAAATTGGATTTAAAAAAAATGAAATGTCCTTGTTGATCACTTTTTGCAAATCCAATCAGTTTTACACGTTGATTCAACGTAATCACATTGATTTTTTGTTGTTGTTGTAATTACGTGGGGAAAAGTTGATTTAATACGTTTTTGCCCAGTGGAGATGCGTTATCCTCTCCAACAGGAGAGGGTACGCTGTGTTCTGCTCTGCAAAACACTTAAGACTACTTTGGGAGAAAGCATTTAGAATGACTTTTGCTGAACTGAAGGTAGCACACGTTAATGAAAAATAGGAATGAATAGTTTATTAGTAGCTGGGTAGCCTGCCTACAGATCAGAAATATGTGAAAAGTAACTCCTTTAAAAGCTTAGTATTGTGCGCAAAAATCTTGCCTCGCGAAGCTATTTTTACTAATACATACAAAATCCCAGAAATCCTAATAAACGTCGTTATAACTTACCCGTTGAGCGTTTTCTGGTCCCTTCAACTATCCAAAACACCTGATGAATCCTTGCTGCGCTGTTCTGCTGTGTTGTGGTGCCTCCGCAGATGCCGTTCTAATGTTACCTGCTGCCTCCGTCTCTCTCTGCAGGGGAGTGTTTTAGTTGTGAGCCCTGTGCCCAACTCCTGACGATGTTATCTAGCTGCAAGACCCTTTTCCTTTCTCTTCCCAACAGGACATTGAAAAGAGGAGAAGCAGTCCAGTCGGTGTTAAAACCTCTGTGTGCGTCACTCGGCCTAACCGCATCGTGCCAGGAATCTGCGTGGTGGTGATTACAGTGTGCCAATGTACAGAACTCCCAACTGGGGAGAATTATTGCGAGGCTATAATTTCAGATTGTAAAAATAACTGTTAATGAACGCTTGTAGATTTTAAGATCCTTCTTATCAGAATTAATGTGCAGGATAAACTTTTTTATGAGTTATTCTCGTTTTTACATACCAGTGGCCCTCTAATCTTGGTTACCGATAACTAAAATTCTTTCGCGCAAATGTGTCATTTCCTGTTGATGAGAATCTGTCCACGAGAGATTAGTGGCTCACACACAGTACTGTTATTACAGCCTTACAGCATGGGCTATATGAGTTTAGCAGTGTCAGATTATTATAGTGGAATAATGAGTTATGATGTTTAATAACAGCTTCGTTAATACCAGGGTTTTACAAATATATTAATAGACCTATAATAGGGGTGACCACACGTCCCGGATTGATGAGAACTGACATGCCAAGGAACCAGTTGGAGGGGCCTTTGATTTCCATAGGTGGGTATGTTTCTTCAAGGGACCTCCTATGTGTGCACAGGCTTGCACATTCCGTTTTTTTATGGGTGTTTTGGTAAAGACCTTAGATCGCCACGGTGGAGGTGTCATAATACCCATAAAACCTAGCAGTCAAACAGGGAAATGGTTCCAATCGTTTTTCCACCATTCATTTTTCCCATTGGGGATTTTAGAAACACTTAAAATAAGGGCTGTCTTTCGTGTAGGCTTACCCTGGCGTGAGGTTTTGATAAGCATGTAAATCTCTCTCGGACAAGGTGACTTTTAGCAATATTTTCAGCCTTATTTACTCTCAGATTCGAAAATGCTAATTAGCATTGTCTTGTATTGATGTGACCTACCGATATATGACGTTGCCACATCAGGAAAGGAATGTGGAGCTTGTTACACGGACAGTGATGGAGTAAAGACATGTTGAAGTTTACCTCTTGAGTCTGGTTGATTTAATTCATTATCATATCTTAACTTAGCACAAGTTGTAAGTATAGAATTGAACAAGCATCAAAGTAGACATCATGCAAAACTACAAATCCCTGTAAGCTCCTGCACATCATCTTTTTTATTTTATTTTTAGTCATTTTTTAGCAGACGCTCTTATCCAGAGCGACTTACAGTTAGTGAGTGCATACATGATTGTATCTTCAGATATTTTAGATGCTTTTCCCTGACAGCCGCAACTCAATCAGCTAGGCCTATTGCCACACGTGCTGCCCAAGCTGCTTCCTCAATAGGTATATGCCAACACACTTGTGATTTGAAACAATCCACAGCAACTTTTTTTATAAAGAAGCTAATGATCCTCTTTGGCTAAGTCATGTTCTCTGGTGAAGTATTTTGACAGGAGTAATTACAGTGAGGGGAAATGTCACGATCGTCAGGGAGAGAAGTAGACCAATGCGCAGCGTGTTGAACGAACATACTTTAATTAGTTAAAGTGTCAAACAAAAT